AGAAAACAATTCGGTGTTAAAAAACTGCCCCTACGAACATTGAAAAAGGCAGTCGAAGCAAGGGGAAACGATTTCGATGCTGCAACCATTTTGCGCGCGGCAACCTGTGTTTCACTCATGTTTTAACTGAAGATTTACGACTTGGAGGCTAGACTCGTAAATGTGATGTATCGTTCACAAATTAAGAGGTTTTTCATTTGTTTTGGCCTTGAAAGCACGAGAAAGACAAAAGGACGTGACGTTGTAAAAGAGAATCTGTAATCGTTTTCATAAATATTATCTATTTTTGATAGCAATATTCTATTGGGAAATTTATACGGTACCAGACTGGTGCCACGGAGCGGATAAGCGACCCGCACGGTCAAACGCTCAAAAAAAATCGTCAACAGTTCTTGGCCTTTTTTATGAGTCTAATCACTTCAACTTAAAATTTACCTATTCGATTTTGTGAGATTTTCTTCACGATTTTTGTTTAAGCTGAGACAAGCAGGAACCGCTCAAGAAGAAATGGCCTAAAGTTAGATGTTGGAACTGATACGTGAGTACAAAGACTATATTCCACCAAGCAGAGACCTGTCTTGGTGTGTTAACATTATAACTAACAACACTGTAATAAGGCTTGCATGTTTTACCATAGTCATACTGCGGGAGGCAGATCAAAACAGATTTTTAGTTTCAACCCTAAGACAACAAATGTGATACTAAACCGCTTTGCAACGAATTCATAGGGAACGAAAACAGCTTTATGCACTGCGGAAAACGATTTCAATGCTGTATATACTCATGTGCACTAATCTGCTACATAATTAACAACAAGAAGTTAATCAATCTCTTATGTTTTATTTAACTCGCAAGTACACAGCGCAAATGTTACCCGTCTCCGCGCTATAATAGTAGCAAAATAATGGGAAATTCCAAATATTAACCAACTTGTACATCAAGCATGGAAGAAGGTCTGTATTAGAATCAAGAGAATGTTCTACTTTTAATAGCAACTATATTAAATAGGAGTTTACAATCTGATTAATCAGGAGCACCCAACGAGAATATAGTTCAAAACCACTTAAACATAGCATTGTTAAACGTATTTTAGTATTTAAACGGTAGATATAGGTATATTTTTATCCCCTAAAAATTTTTCATCTGTTCGGATTTCCTAGCTGAAAGTCTAGTGATCCGAAATTTATAGGGATCAAAACTTACCTTTTCGAAAATTTCAGCCACAAAAAAGGCTTTCGAAAATTCTAGGTGACCTTTTAGGGTAAAAATCCGTTAAAAATGGGCAATTATACCATTTTTTAGACGTTGGAAAATCCTAGGAGAGGCAGGCAAGCAAGAAATTTTATCAGAAATGTTCCTAAAATTCTAGATCTCAAATCGTCTTCCGAACAGATATTTTCTGAAAATTGACGTTGGTTGCCCCTGATTTATGATTCAAGTTATCGATATGTCTTGGAATTTTTTTGTAACTCCGGTAACTTCAACTCGACTGTACTGAGAACAGCTGTGAGAAGACGACCCAATAATAAGAAACTAAACAATGAAGGTTAAAAATTATTTTTTCTGATATGTAGCAGTTTACATGATTGGACGTTAATTTCTCATACACAGCTTCTTAACATGTTTTTCCAGCATTTCGCTATCACTCGAGACTGATAACTCAAGCACTCAGAATTACTTGAAGGTTAAACGATTAAAACAAGTAAGTACACAGCGAATTCACTTGTACGTTCATTGCGTTAGACAATAGTTTTGTGCTGTTAGACAGATATCAACAGATTTGTCTCAGAATTACGAAAAACTCATTTCGTTCACATGGTATCTGGCACAAGTTTTGACCATAATTGCGAAATTCAAAGTTCAGAGAAGGAACCACTAAAACGAAGTCGATCTACCTTACATGATCAGAACTGACAGCAACCGTATACGAAAATACATTCCATGAGGAAGAGGTTGAAAAACTTGTAAGATAATAAAATAGCTCATAATAAATAATCGCAGACATTATTATTATTATTGTTGTTATTATCATAATTTCAGTGACATATAAAATCTCAGCTTGGTTGGGTCTAGTTGATACTCTTTGTGAAATTGCAAACCTTTCTTTTCAGTTAAAAAAAGACAGTGATCAAATTAAGTCAGGTCCAAAAAGCACAATAAATTTTATAAAAAAAGCCATATCACCCCGCGACGAATTACTGACTAATCACTTAGCAACCGAGTCACTTTGATCTTTGCAATACACGTAGACAAGAGCTATGGCTCTTGACGTAGAATATTCTCTTAACCTGTTATTTCGAGAACTTAATCAAACAAATCAAAAAAGTGATTTACATCATTTTTGCACAAAACAGTTGTCAACAAAAAGTCCTCAGAATCAGAGATTTTAAGGTAAAAACAGCTTAGGTTTGAATATTCCTACTTAATTTAATGACTTCTTTACACGCTTCATTATTTTATCTCGTAGTTCCTTTTCTTCGTCTCTGCTTTCCTGGACACAGAAAACGTAGGAACTTGAAATAGGAATTATCCTAAAGATTAGCAGTCTCTCATTTAATGTTGAGCACCACGACCTTCTCAATTAAACTGGGGAACAAAGTTTAGTGAAGAGTTTGCAAATTAATGAGCATAATCAGTTGCGAAAACTTCTGATCATTACAGTTCAAGTCTGATTGAGAATTTAGTGCCTCCTTTTAAATTCAGTTTTAAGTGAGCGATTGAGTTATTCTCGAAATTATGATCGGTGCGGCTGTGCGGCCATTTTCCGTTAAGAACTGATGAAAAATTGGAATCAAATTAAGAGTGGCTTAATTGATAGAAAGGAATAAAATACAGAAGGCTAACGATACTACGAATTTGAAACCAGTTACGAATGTCATTTTCTGGATCGTCTGTTATCAGTTTTCTATTAATATCCACCGACGATGGGTCGTCTTGGTTCGTCTTAGCTGCTTTGTCGCCTTAGACTTATATTTTTAGTGCGATTTTTTTCGAATTTTTGTTACGAACTGTAAACGGTGTTGACGTACGCTGCAATATTTTTCTGTAATTTCAGTCCCATCCGTATGCGTCGATTTCACCAAGCAAAAAATTAATTTATCAAAGTTCAAACAACAGCACACAGGACATTTACACACAATTTTCCGCACTGTAGATACAAGAGAGAAAGATCAAAAGAGTATCATAATCTATGAATTGTATTTTATGTTTTGTGTGTGTGCGTGTGTGGTGTCAAAAGTATTGCAAGAACCCATTTTAGTCAGTTAGCACCACCATGTTGACAAGTAAAACTCAGATTGAATCAGAAATAAAATCAAGCAAATCGGCTGCAGTAAAATCAAATTTGATTGATCAAGAGGTGATATTTCCATGCTCTCTTAAAATTTATTACAGTGGACAAATTTGAGCACTAGGGCCGGGCACAGTTTCCCAAATCTTTGGAACAGGAAAATTAAGAAGACGTCCAGCTTACCTAAATTAGTAGTTATTCGCTAAGTTAGTTCACGCAAATTTTGATGTGTTATAATTGTATATATTAGATAGTACTTTAGATAGTGGTGACAGGAAATCAAGGAAGACATCTGGAATTCTATCGGTTTCATTCCCAATATTATGTGTTAGGCAGCATGCGGATATTCTTAATTTATATATATATTTTGTAATTTAACAATTCCTAAGAGCTTGTATTAAATCGGGACCGGCGGTTTATCTAACATGTGCAAAGAAGATGGGTTCACAGACACTAATTTTTCTTAAGAAGACAATTTAGTATGGTACGTGCTGGTACAGCCCCAGGAAATGATTTCATACCTGAAATACTTACATATCAAAGTGCAATATATTTGTTTCAGCATATTAAAATCCAAGAAAAAGAAAACAACGTAACAAAGAACATATCGCTATCTCTTAGTAGTTGTTAAAAGTGACTAGTGATGACACGACTAAAAACAGAATGGTCGTTACCCTTCAAATTTCACTGTAAATTTCGCTTAACGTATCTCTAATCTAAACATGGAAGTTGCTAAAGTCAAAGCAGAAATTTTCTTGTCAATGAGAATTTTGGACTTTTTCGTGTTCTCTACGTCACAGACCCCTTCAACTTGTCTCAACTTGTAACTTATGGGAAGTAAACACAATGAATGAACTCCTTTTAATTGGTCAGTTAAGAAATGATTAAACCAATGAAAACTCTCGCCTGAAACTTGTCTGAGACGTGTTTTTTTTTCAGTAAAAAGGTAAATTAGGTTAGAAGAGGACATAAAAGCTTCTGGTTTTTCAAGGACTTGTCATTCCTCATCGGATGGCTACAGCCTTACGACTACAAGGTTCGTATTTAAAAGCATCTTCTCAGGTTTAATGAGTCTAATTCTTGGAGTTCTTTCTTTTTAGTTTAAATTTTTCAATTACAATTCAATCTGTTAAACTTTGAAGAAAGGTAAAGATGTAGGATTATTGTTATAGCCTCGTATTTAAAAAAATATCTTTGTATACGGTTTGAAAAACGAGTACAGGTCACTGACACTAGGAGTAACAAATTTAGTATATTTAGTGCAGGCGATGGGATGAACTTAATGCACGTGTACATGTTTTTGAAGAGTTCACAATCATGACATCCTGGCCACTTTGCTGTTAGTACTGATCACCTTTTGTTCTGCAAATGACAACAACAGCAGCAAACCACGTGACAGGGTGAGCTCGTAAAAACGAACATTGAGTTATCGGAGGTTCTTTAATGCAGAATGTAGTAGGATAATTGAGAAGTGATACACCTAAACAAGCTCGTTACCTTTAAGAATGCAATGGCAAGGAACGAAATAAGGAATGGTTTATTTTATATAAGAATGTTTTATTGGTTTTGGTGACCCAATGATTGTTAGGGTGACACTGTCTGCTTTTTTTTTTGTTTTCACCTGTGATGATTTCATAGGTTCATGGTAAAGGATATTTAAAGCAAAACAAATTATTCCCGACAGGGCTATAATGCATGTTTCCTTTTTTAGAGCAATCCTCAACAGACCTCATCATATGGTTCCTGTGGTCATGGTGGGTGTTTCTGTGCACCAGGAATTCCAGGCATCCCCGGAAGCTCTGGACCCGCGGGACCAGCAGGTGTTGCGGGATCACCCGGTAATCATGGACCTGAAGGACCCATGGGCCCTCGAGGAAACAAAGGTGATGAAGGAGCCCGTGGAAGGCAGGGGCCTCCAGGCCCCAAAGGAGTTATAGGACCTTCAGGCCCAGCAGGTCCACGTGGAAAGCAAGGTCCCCCTGGCCTCAAGGGAGCTCAAGGACCCTCAGGTTCAGCTGGTTCCCCTGGAAACAAGGGTGATACAGGCGCTCGTGGAAAGCAAGGTCCCCCAGGTCCCAAGGGACCTCAAGGAAACTCAGGTTCAGCTGGTTCCCCCGGAAACAAGGGTGATACGGGTGCTCGTGGAAGTCAAGGTCCCCCAGGTCCCAAGGGTGCTCCAGGATCGTTTGGTCGTAATTGGAAACACTGCGTTTTTAACAATCTGGGCGATGGAAGGGACTCTGGATTGATCAAGGTGAAGACTCAGCTTGCAGCTATAGATCAAGGAAGTAAACCTACAGTAACTTGAAGAAAAACTTAGCTCAGTTCTAAAAATAACTTGAAAAATTTTCAACTTTATCTGGAACAATTTTCTTTTTAAACAGTCAAACTTGAACCTTTTACAGCTTTCAGACCAGATTGCATTGTTCATTACGGTAGCAAGTATATTAGTCTAGTTGTTTTAATTCTAATTTCTAAGTTGGTGTTTGTTTCTATGTTATTTCCACAGGAATGTATTTTCAAGAAAACGTCAGACAACACAGCGCTGCGTGTCTTCTGGAGTGGCAACCTTCGCATCTATAACTGTGACGCCTGCTGCAGTCGATGGTATTTCACCTTTAATGGTGCAGAGTGTTCAGCCCCAGCAGCCATTGATGGAATAGTGTACATGCCATATGGAAGAGGCAGCAGACTAAAGGATTTACACCGCGTGCGTCACATCGAAGGAGTTTGTGAGAAAATCCACAAAGGCAGAGTGCGCGTGGGATTCTGGGTTGGCAAATGTGCTGGTCGGAAACCTGCTGATGCTCAAACAGGCTGGATCTCCGTGTCTCGGATGTACGTGGAAGAAATACCTCCCCCACAGGCTTAATAAAAACAGATTCCGATTTCGTTCCTACGTTAAAAGTCGATTAAAAAGCTTTCTTAGACAATAATATTTTTAATCTTTGGAACATGAATAATAGTAAGTAGTTTTGGAATTTTAAGCAAGCACAGGTCATTCTTAAGGTTATCTCTAATCGTAAAAAGAGGTGAAGCTTGCGATATGGAAGAAAAGTAAACAAGTAAAAAATTTAACAATGTAAAATAAAGCCGCTTAATGATATAAAATAGCAATTTATTTGAGAATTTTATACACCAGGGGTCACTGTTACGGGAAATTCTCTTTTGCAACACCAAAGGGAACGTTTCAATGAAAGGAAAGAAAAAAGTATTAGTTCAGTAGTTCATACACGAGACTTTCACACAACTTTAAAAACACAGAAAAACCTTTTCATTTCTTTAAATTCATTTGTCGTGGCAAAAGACAACGGTGAATAACTTCACGGCACTTAAACATGGTCATTGTTGCCAAAACATGTTTGCATTTCTTCACATATCGTGACAAGGCTCAGGGTTGTAACATTGTCGAATTCTGACAAAAGGGGCCCTGCGTCACTTGAAATGTTTCGTCTTGTAGTTTGACGAAGACGGCGCCCATTTTTAAAAACAGAATGTTCTCTGCATCAAAAAATCTCGCGCTTTAGTAGCATGTAAAAGTCTGCTTCCTCCATAGAAAAAAAAAATCGTTAATCGGTAACAGGCAGGAAATACAAAAATCAACCTCCAATCTCTTTCTCAAAGCCTTCGTTACCCTTGATCTTGGTTACGTACCAAAAGGATTGCAGCCTCTGGGGACGAGACTGAGAGCCATGTAACTTAGAGCTTTGGAGCACTCGGACGTTGCTGATCCAGCATCCTCGGAGAGCCAGGGGCGGTCAGTCAGATCGGGATAAACGGCGGCGAAAGTTTTCAAGAACAGGCGAGACAGCTTGAAACCTTTCGCCGCCGTCTCGGGCGTACCTCATATTCTCCCCTGGTCCACCGACTCGCAAAGCCTCGAGCCGATTCTCCCATATCTTATGCATTTAGGCTCATTTTGCTTTGTGTGCGGGTCAGTTCCGGGTGAGAATATATAAATTACTATTGGCCAGCAAGCAGTAACGTTTACACAGGGGTCGTGTGCCACAACAAAAGGAGACTATTCTGCTCATAAACCGGTTGCAGTTCGTCCTAAAAAGCCTCAACTGGATCGTTACTACCTTATCACAGTTTGTACCCAATAAGTAAATTGATTTATATTGTCCACTTTACCATTCCGCTTAAAAGAAATCTTTTTTCACTATGGGCTTAGTACTTGTAAATAGGTCAAATACTCCGAAGGGTTGGGCAAGGATGTAAAATATAATAATTATGTTAAGCTGCCTATGTCTAGAAGAGGTCGCTTTGAACATGTTGAATTTCCATTTTGATCCAGAGATCGCTTTTCCGTTCCCTGCCCAATTCCTTCAATCAGCATTAATGATATCCATTAGACTATAAAGTGTGGGTACTGGGGATGGGATTAAAGCAAAGATTAAAAAGTAGGGGAAACTGGAAACGAGAATTTAAGATGCCTCAATTTCGGTATGTTACTTAGCTCAATCAGCATTAATGATATCCATTAGACTATAAAGTGTGGGTACTGGGGATGGGATTAAAGCAAAGATTAAAAAGTAGGGGAAACTGGAAACGAGAATTTAAGATGCCTCAATTTCGGTATGTTACTTAGCGAAGCTTTTGATGAGCCGGTAAGCTCTACCCAGGAGCCCTTTCAACGGCCTTTGATTATCAATTCCAACTGATGACGTGGAGCACTTTCACGAGAGGTGAGAGGATAAAGAGTCAAAACTAAACTAAATGAATTTACCATGAAAGAAGTTATGTTTTACGCCGTTTTGGTAGGTTGTATGGAGTCGACAGTATTTTCAAATTTTAAACTAAAAATAACAAAATAAACCAAGAGAGCCCCTTTATCCTCTCTTGAATAAACTTATGTCCAGCACTTTTGCTGGGATAACGTGTCAAACAGAGCAAACACTCTGGAGATCTGTTCAGGATCGAAGCATTTTGCACACAAGTTATAATTATTGTACAGTGTATTGCCAGAGATACCGAAAAGTAAATTACTAATGCAGGCGAAAAGAAAAGTTGCTCTTTTGACATAGAGACTTAAGAAACTCGGTAGCATAAGCTCGCACTGAAAAATTGCATCTCATTTGGATCAAGACGAGATCACAAAATAAACAACTAAGTATATCAGTATTATAGTAACAAAAGATCGTTGCTATTTGATTGGTCAAATTAGAGATTATTTAATCTGTATTAGCCAATAATATTTTATTTTACAACGAAGCTGACCATTAATATATATTGTTCCTCTTTTACAAACACGATCTGACGAGAACCTCACTTAATATATGCACAGAAAACAAAAATTTTCACTTTTGGTATGAGCAGCTAAATTATACAATTGAATGGATGTTTAGCGATGGCGCAGTCTTGCGGCGAAAGGTTTAATACTCGAAGAGTCGGAAAGAAATTACATGTAACGCACCCTGGAAAAACGAGACGTTTAAGAAGATGCACTGCGAACGCTTCTGAAATCAGATCATAATTTTCCGAGAGCCTCAATTTTCTAAGTACTACTCTCCATCCTTATACTTTTAAGGTAACAGCTTACATTATTGTTGTTAATATGTGAATTGTATTGTTTATTTTCTATGTTTCGTTTAACAGTCTTTTTTCCTCGTTGACTCAGTTGAAGGTTCTGCTTCCTTGAAAGCAGTTATGCAGCAAATAACCCAGAATGTAAGTGCGTTCATTTATTTTGCATTGAAGCGTAAAAACATTATTTGTTCGTAAGATTTTCCAATAAATGAAGATCAGATTCACATCTGCCGATACGGGATAAATTCATAAAACTTCGTGCTCACTTTCGAATGATAGGGATCGGCCGGAATTGAACCAAGTCCCCGTGATTCTAGTTTTACAATTCACACCAAGAGTCAATTACTTGGTCGTTTCTGCAAAATCACCACGTGAAAACCTCAACCTCAGTTAAAAACTATATGAAGTGGTTCGAACGTTTTGAATTTGTGGACGAATTTTTCTGATTTGCCCGTTGAAATGAAATCTCTTTACTAGTACTTCGCTTGAGTTGTGTTGTCTACTCAGTTTTTACAACTCGAAATCGTGATTTTGAGCGCGAGTTGACACAAAATACCTTGCTTCATAGTCATACTGGAAGGCAGGTCAAACAGGTTTTTTAGTTCTAACCCAAAGACAACAAATCTGTGATATAAAGACGGTTTCACCACAAATTTATAGGAAAACAAAATCGCTTTAAGGGACGGAGAACGACTTCGATGCTGCAAACTCTTGCGCGCAGTAATCTGTGTTCGCTGATGCTTTATAAGAAGGTTTAACAGTGAGTGGCTACAGTCGAGAGTAGACGCAAATTAAGTGACCTCTCCTCCAATTCGTTTATCAAATTAAATGCAATGCACATCATGACAAAAGAAGAGATGTATTAGTGAAGTTATGAATATATGAAAATCATATATGAGAACTGCGGGGTGAAGAATTATATGAAAGAAGATCATCGAGAATTATCTATTTTAAATAGCTACTATATCAGAAAGTTACATTTCCAAGAGCTGTTCAAATTTGGCACTTAACACATGCCAAGAGCAGCTTGAGTAATCTTCACTTCTGTATAGCTTGCGTGGTTATAACCTTGAAGTTGAAGAACTTGCTCTTTCGGGAGAAAAATGGATATCGATACATTTAGGGCTGCATGGTCACATGCTTTAAAAGATTTCACTGTTTTATTGACTTATCGTGTGAGAGTTATCAATAGAAAAAACAGAGCTAAAATAATAGACGCAATAATTATCTGAAAGGATAACCCTTGACTACGCAAACAGAAGCAACCAAAGCATTGCTCGTTAAGAATACAATAATGTAGAGTGATCTCAGCTTTAATAACTTGTTATTACGAGAATAATCAAACAAATCAAAGAGTGATTCAAATCATTGTTGCACAAAACAGTCAGCAACAACAACAACAAAAAAACAAGACAAGAATTAAGGATTCAAGGTAATAGCGGTTTAGGTTTGAATACAATGTATTTGTACTCTATACTAAAATTCTTTACAATGTTGCGTTTTTTTAATCTCATATTTCCTTTTCGTCTTCTTCTTTTCAATCGATTGTGCTTTCCTGAGCACAGAAGAATTATTGAAATGAGGAATCATGCTAAAGATAAGTAGTCTCACAACTAGTTGTGAACCACGACGGTCTCATTTAAAGAAACAAAATTCAGTGAAGATTTCGCAACTGATTCCCATGATGAGCACAGAAGTAAATAATCGTCTTAAAACCACAAGCCTGACCAAGAATTTGTGTCTCCTTTCGCAGTTCAGACTGCCAAGTAAGTGACAAATTCAGTGTGAATTATTTTTGGTCGGTGCTTTGCTGTTAAAGTGAATTTCTTTTTTTACCCACTTTAGAATTCCTTGAATGTTTCGAGGTTAACGTGTTTATAAGTGAAAACTACGGCCGTGAGTAGACGAGGAATGCGACAATAAAAATAATCGTTTTCTTTCTTTTTTCTTCGAAATGGTTATTAATAAGAGATGATCGAAAGGATTTTCAAAATTGACTGTGTTAGTTTCAAGGACTGTAAGGTGAAACATATTATTCAGTGGAAACCCGATTTTTCGAACCAACATTGAAAAAGTAAATTTGTTTTATTATCCGTCGGGCGGTTTGAAAGATCGGGGGTAAAACTACAGTGTTTGCCTGGTGAAGGGAAGTTAGGTTGCAGGTTGGAATCTTCGCGAGTTTCGAAAAACCGAGGATTCCAGAAATCGGGATTCTACTGTAGATTTTCTTTAAAAAGGTAAGCACTTGATTCTGAAAGTCCCTTAGATTGTTTTTCGGTGCAATTGTTAGTTTAATAACTCTAAAGCCAGCATGGATTGTCCACAAGAAAAACCGATACAGAG